TCATGAGAGCAAGACCTTCATGCATTTTGTTCACAAAATTATGACATACGCTGCATGCCCAATTGATTAAGTGAACTGGTTGAATAAGTGAATATATGGATGCCTTAGTATGAGGCTAGCATTGTTCTATGTATACTTTGAAGCTATTGTTTGACTTCAATACCACTGTCCTGTGAGAAACACTGTGCAGGTAAGGGAACTGAGACAGAGAAGGGCACAGAGTAGAAAATCAGTAATGGGATGGTGAACACATATGAATCCATGGCTGATTCATGTCAATGTATGGCAAAAACCACTACAATATTTTAAAGTAATTAGCTTCCAACTAACAAAAATAAATGAAAACAAAAAGAAAAAATAAATAAATAAACTGCCTTATTTAAATAAAATAAAGAAGAGGAAATAGTTTTTAATTTTTTCACCAATAAGTGCTCAAGTAATGATGGCTAAAAAATTTGGTTATTAAAAATGTAGTATAATATAATCTAGTGATACAACTTAAAAGATAACTAATTTCTACCTTAATTGTTCTCTAAAAATGTTGCATTATTAAGAATATTTTTAAATTATTCTAATGGACTATTTACATTCAAATTAATATTCACCCACAATATTCAGAGTCTTTTTACATAGGTATGTACTTCAAACAATTTAAAAAAAATCAATTGAGGTGTCAGGAAGGTAGATATCTCTGGATCTGAATTCCAGCTTGGAACTTTACTATACATGTGACCATAGATTAGCGACTTAATAGCTCTAAGTTTCCATTTCTTCACTATAAAATAAAGATATTAATATCTTTTAATAACATCACTGAGAGAAGTAAATGAAATTATGTTTATAAAGGACTTAACAGATAATTGACTAATAAAGGACAGTAAAAGATAAACAAATAAATGTGAGCTCCTTCTCCCTGCTTTGTGCTTCTCTGTGACGGTGTTTCCTAAGATGTATTTTGGAAAACACTAATTCTGTGGAATTTAAATAACTGTTACAAGAAAAGGTGTTTGCTACAATTGTATATCTGGGGGCTGTACAGTATTATCCCCAGTGGCATGGGTTCTGGAGGTCACTGCTGGGTGGGGGGGATCCATCCCATTTACTAGGTGTGTAATAGGGAGCACCTTATTAACCTCCTGGTGACTCAATTTCTGTCATCTGTAAAACATAGATTATAATTTTATCTAACTTTTAGGATGATTTTATATATCAAATGAGATCATATTAGATAAACATAGACTCTGTCATCCAAACCAGGACATTTTTTCCCCAACATTTTATATTGAAATATTGAAAGAACTTTAATAGAGCATCATTTATATATATATATATGTATGTATATATATATATAAATAAAAAATAAATATAAATAAATAAATATATATATAAAACTTAAATTCTATGGTTAACATTTTTCTAGATTTCTTATCACACATATATTCATTTATCTATTCTTTATCTTCCCCTCTGGGACACTTTAGGAAGTGAAAATGGATAATGCTTATACAACAATAGACAGGTAATAATGGAACTTTGGGCCTCTCTAGTGGCTCAGATCGGAGAAGGCAATGGCACCCCACTCCAGTCCTCTCGCCTGGAAAATCCCATGGATGGAGGAGCCTGGTAGGCTGCAGTCCATGAGGTCGCTAAGAGTCGGACACGACTGAGCAACTTCACCTTCACTTTCATGCATTGGAGAAGGAAATGGCAACCCACTTCAGTATCTTGCCTGGAGAATCCCAGGGACGGGGGAGCCTGGTGGGCTACACTCTATGGTATCACAAAGAGTTGGACATGACTGAGTGACTAGCCACAGCACACATGAGGACATCCCTAGACACATCTGGGTATATGGTCTTTCTGTGTATAATTTACATAGGACAGTAACTGGCTGTGGTAAACATATAATCCCAGGGACGGGGGAGCCTGGTGGGCTACACTCTATGGTATCACAAAGAGTTGGACATGACTGAGTGACTAGCCACAGCACACATGAGGACATCCCTAGACACACCTGGGTATATGGTCTTTCTGTGTATAATTTACATAGGACAGTAACTGGCTGTGGTAAACATACAATAAATGATAGGTATTATCAGTTCAGTTCAGTTGCTCAGTCGTGTCCGACTGTTTGTGACCCCATGAACTGCAGCATGCAAGTTAAGTTCTGAAAATTCTGCATTAAAAACACATAGCATTTTGCCCTGCAGGAACAATCCTGAATAACTTACTGATTGTTCAATACTTTTCTTAGATTGCCTCCATATGACTGCAACTTTTGTTTTATAGTAACTTAAAGATTCAGTGATTTTTAGTGGTCACTGTGACATCTTTGCTCCACTCCAGTAACCTTGAGAAAATTAATAAAACCTGAAGTCCATCTTGACTAAGAGGCATCAAATGATAGCTACACAGTTCATCCCATTGTAAAATAAAGTCCACTTCTATCTGCAAAGTTTCCCAACTGACCATTCAACAGTTGTGCTACTCAAATTCAGCTTCCAGAATCTAGACATTTGTTTGATTGTTCGCAGCTGAATGGTTTATGGGGAGGATTAACGAATGGACTCACTAGTTGGTTTGTAGACATCAGCCAATTTGGTTAAGGGGAGATATGCTTACAAATCAGTGTGATGTAGAAAAAAACAACTAAAGTAATAACAAAATGCAACCATAATGTATTAAGCAATTAATATATGTCAAATAATGCATTCAGCACTCCACATGGAGGATCTCTGAACTTGACATCTAAAATCAGGTTTATGTTTCTTCTCTTGCAATCTGTAATTACAAGGTTCTTACTAGGTCACTTAACTGGCTCATCAGTAAAATCTGGACAAGAATACCCTGACCACCCCCCTTCTCAGGACTGGTGGAAGGATTGAATATGATACTGCAGATAAATGTACTCTGTCAACCACAGATTGCTATTCAGAATATACTGTTGTATGTTGGTTATTAGTTCTCTACCAGTGTCCACCAAAATGATTTATGGATTCCACTAACTCAGTAATAAATGCTAATATTAAATTTATAAGTCCTGGGTAATTTTTACTTAGGAAGGGAAAAAACATGCTTCTTTAACTAATAATATAATAAATATATAATAATGTAATAAAGAAACATACTTTCCCACCATAGGTGAGACACTATGACACACCAGCTTGAGGTTCTATGACCTTGGATAGGTCCCTGTTGCTGTTCAGTCACTAAATTATGTCTGATTCTTTGTGACCTCATGACTGCAGCACTCCAGGCTCCTCTGTTTTCCACTGTCTCTGAGGGTTTGCTCAAATTCAGGTCCATTAAGTCAGCAATGCTATCTAACCATCTCATCCTCTGTTGCACGCTTCTCTTTCTGCCCTCAGTCTTTCCCAGGATTAAGGTCTTTTCCAATGAGTAGGCTCTTCACATCAGGTAGCCAAAGTATTGGAGCTTCAACTTTAGCATCAGTCCTTCCAATGAATATTCAGTGTTGATATTATTTAGGATTGACTGGTTTGATCTCCTGCAGTCCAAGGGACTCTCAAGAGTCCTCTCCAATACCACAGTTCCAAACATTAATTCTTTGGCACTCAGCCTTCTTTATGGCCCAGCTCACATGGCTTACTCAGCAGCCCAGTGGTAAAGAATCTACCTGCAACACAGGAGATGCAGTTTCAGGAAGATCTGGGTCGGGAGGATCACTTGGAAGAGGAAATGACAACCCACTCCAGCACTCTTGCCTGGAAAATTCCATGGACAGAATAGGCTGGTGGGCTACAGTCTACAGGGTCACAAATAATTGGAAGCAACTGAGCGCACACACACACACACACACACACACACACACACATGCGCCTTGGTCTCATACCATAGGTATGAGATGGTAGGCCCTGTGATCCCTAAATTCTTCATCTTTAAAAAGGGGATATTATCAAATACAACACAGCTGTTATGAGAATCAAATAAGACAGGATATGTAAAAGCAAGTTATAAAGCTGAAAGCATTACCCAGATATGGCATAATTATTCTTTCTATGTTATTATGTATACCTGAGTAAGTCACTGTTTCTATAATGCATATAAGTTAGACTCTAGAACTTACAATTAGTACTTATGAAACTCCCCAAATAAATACATTTTATATTCCATTTAAGAAATTTCACTTATTTTTAATAGTCTGCAGCATTTCTAGACAAATGGGGCTACAAAGAAATGTAGTTTGTCATAAAAGAATCTGCAAATGTACACTAAATATTCCAAAGACCCTCCCCAGGTAATGTTTGTAGCCCAGTGCCATTTAACACTATTAAGTTACACTAGTTCAAAATATACCCCCATCTCACGCAGGACATGTAAAATTTTCCTGGCTGAGAGATCGAATTTGCAAGCTAAATTAAATATGAGACATAGTGATGTTGTCTTATGTCCCCATCCAATATGTTGTTTTAAGTTTATGAAATATGCTTTCATCAGAAATCCATCCTGCCATGCAAAATAGCTTCTGGCCTGTGACTCTGGAGCGCCTTGCTAATAAATACCTTTACAGTCATCTTGTACTGACATTATAACTAGTAAAACACATTAAGAGAGAGGGAAGTGAGGAAAGAAGAGAGAAATAGAAGAGATAAAACTATAAGAGATTTTGGTGCATAAATTCAAAACATGTTTTGAATGTATTTCCTTCTTTCATCTCTTATTTCTACTCCAGAAAGGGTCTGATGTGGCAGAAATAATGCAAATTCTGTATTATTAGAGTTTTGAGGGTTTCAATGCCACCTTCATCTCTTAACTTTGAGGCCATCTGTTAAACTCCCCCAGCCTTATCTATACAATGAATGCTGTTTGTTCTTCCTTGTTGAAAAGCTCCAGGTTAAACCAAGAGGGACCCAGACTACAGACATGAATGAATACAATGAATGAATATCAGTTACCATCTACTTCTCTTTTTTTTCATTTAGTCATTAGCCCATCATTCTTTTCATACAATGTAAACAAAGTACAGTATTTGGGGACACACATATTAATTTTTTGTTATTTACTACTTGTATGAACTGCCTCTGACTTCAAGTTCTTCATGTGTCATGCTGGGATCCATTGACGTGCCTCAGAGCTGCCCGAGGGATAAAGGTAGGTGGGCTGAAACAGAAGGATAGACACATGGCAAAGTTCAGGGCTCCTCCCCTCTACCTTCAACCATAAAGAGCAGCTCTACATTTATCCTCAAATAAAGATTGAGATTTCCTACAAGATGTTCTTGTCAAGAAATAATATCATTGATATAAAAGGAAAGAAAATAAACTTCTAGAGCAGGCAAATAGCTAAAGATAGCTTTCCGTTTCTGTTCTAATTTTCAACGATTCCATGTATCCCTTGGAGGCTTATTAAGTGTGAAATCCTCAAATTCATTCTTTTTATGGCTGAGTTATACTCCATTGTATATACAAACCATGGCTTCTTTATCCATTTTCTGTCAATGTGCATCTAGTTGCTTCTGTGCCCTAGCTATTGTAAATAGTGCTGCAGTGAACACTGGGATACATGTGTCTTTTTCAGTTATGGTTTTCTCAGGGTAAATGCCCAGTAGTGGGATTGCTGAGTCATACGGTAGTTTTAGTCCTAGTTTTTTAAGGAATCTCCAGACTGCTCTCCATAGTGCCTGTATCAGTTTACGTCCCCACCAACAGTGCAAGAGGGTTCCCTTTTCTCCACATCCTCTCCAGTATTTATTATTTGTTGATTTTATTTTACAGTGGCCATTCTGACCAGTGTGAGGTGATACCTCATTATAGTTTTGATTCCATTTGTCTAAGAATTAATGATGCAATCTGCTCTTTTAAAGTATGTCTCAATCCAGCAGCCAAAAGAATTACATTCAAACATAAGATAAATCATACATCTTTTCTCATCTCAAAATGCTCTAATAACTGCACATCTCATTTGGCATAAAAGCCACAGTTCTTACAATGGTCTTCGGATCCTTGTTTAATTGGTCCCTGTGCCTGCATCTCCTACTTCCTGTTTTATTCATTCTCAACTCAGATCTTTTACTATAAACTGCTCATACTCCCTGGAATGTTCTTCCACCAGATAGCCACATAATTTGTCTCTGACTCTTTTCAAGTCCTTATGCAATGATTAGCTTTTCTTATTATCTACTTAAAACGATAGCCACCACTCCCAGTGTCCCCTATTGACTTTCCAAGCTTTATTTTTCTCCATGGCTCTTATTCTTCCAGTATAGAGTTTGTCTTCTTTTTCAAGTTATTTTATTTTCTGACATACTAGAAAGTAAGCTTTATGAAGGCAGGACTGTGTCAGTTTTGTTGGCTCCTCTGATCTCGGTGTCTAGAATAGTGACCATAGTGAGAACTCAATGGGAACTTGTTTGGTGAATAAACATTTTTAAGCTGAAAAGGATTTGGCTATGGTGGCAACAGTGATTTGAAAGAAAGAAAAGCAAAACAACAAAAAAAGGAAAAATAACTGAGGAAAAATTTAGAAGTTCTAAGTGGCCTGCTGGAAATAGGTGAAAAAAAGCAGAAAGACTGAGGTAGTCACCCTGGCAACTCATTGTCATTCATACTTCTTATTGTAGGTGCATAAAACTTCGCTTCACATTAGGTGTCCCCTTCTCTGAAAATAAAAATTACTTAAACAAAGAGAAGAAAGTCTCCTATATTCAAGAAGAGATCACTTTTCATGAGGCACATCCTCTCCATGTGTTAAGAAAGACAAAAAATAACTCAGCACTTCCCAATTTCAAAAAGTTTTATGTTTTTTTCCAAGAATTATTGTCCCCACTGTTTGGGAAGAAAATAGATCTGATTGTTAAATCACTTACTTACTGATAGCATAACCATTCCTTCAGCACAGGGAGTTTGCGCACTTTCTGGTACCTATGATAGTGCCTGGCACTTAATGAGCACTTAATATATACTTAGAGAATTGATGAGGACTAAAATTCATGGAGAAAGTGAAAAATTCAGTCTAAATAACAACATCAAAATGCTATGATCTCCTCTACTTTGGTGGTTTGCCAAGTAAGAGTTATATTTTTTTCACCTGATAACATATGCTACTCAATCAGTTGTTAACAAAGGGTTATGTCAACATCTAAAATTTACACAGCTCAGTTGGTAAAGAATCTGCCTGTAATGCAGGAGACCTGGATTTGATTCCTAGGTCAGGAAGATCCCCTGGAGAAGGAAATGGCAATCCACTCCAGTATTCTTTCCTGGAAAATCCCATGGGCAGAGGAACTTGGCGGGCTATAGTCCATGGGGTCGCAAGAGTTGGACACAACTTAGCAAGTAAACCACCACCACCACCAAAATTTATTCTAAGTACAGTACAACAGAGAGAAATAGACTATAATATGTCATAAACATAAAAAGAATTTGATGAAAATGTATTTATTTATTTAAAAGCATATGGTCTCCTGCCCTCAAGAAACCTCCAGTTCAGTTGGGAAGGGAAAAATCGCATACCAGGCAAAAACTATTTAAAAATCCAATACATTACCCAAACAAATTATTTGAAAGATGAGAGAGACAGTACATTGTACAGACATTCATGTTAGGAAAAACATCATGTAGGCAAAAAGGCTTTAGATTTAAAAAATGAATTAGTCCCCTTTGGGGAAATAAAATGGAGGAACTTAGGAACTGATAAAGTGGCAGATGGGGATGGGGAGGTCAGAAAAGAACATTCTAGAAGGGAGGATCATCAAGAAAGAGCATTCCAGAACACACCACAAAACAATAGAAGGAAAGGATATGAGTCTTCCCCAATTCCAGAGGAAGGCACAACCTCCCAGAAAACATAATGACCAGCACTTACTTGAGAAACAGCCTCTGGATCCTCAAGTCTTGCCAGTTCCCTAGGAGAGCAGACAGCAGTCAACTCACGTTTAAGTTCCCCGTGTTACAGAGAAGAGCCAGAGTCACAGAGAGGCAGAGGGAGGAAGCAGTGCTCTGAAAGCCCTCTTGCCAACTAAAGGGAAGAACATCATTGAGAAGGGAAGAGAGCTAAAACACCTCTAAATCTTGACTTTCCTCAGCCAAGCACCTTGCTTTAATAAAAATGAAATCTTCACAAGTTATACATATTTAATTTACTGATTCAAAGATGAGTCAGAAGAGGAAAACAATAGTTGTGAACCTTTCAGTGGTAGAGAGAGATGCTTTCTAAAGTGTTCCCAAAGCCTCTCCGAGGTCAGACTCATCCTGAGGCTGCAGGAACGCAAAGGATTTGTATTCAGAGATGTGGCTTGATGAGACCAGAACAATCATAATTCTTGTGTAGTAGATGTCATTAATCAATAAGAGGGGATATAAAAAGTCACACACCTCCCTCCCTGTGCCAGGAAGGAGGATGGCAGTCCATTTCCGGATGTATGCCACAGCCGGCAGAGTGACTCATCTTGTGCCAAAATACCACAGGGACGTGAGAGGAAAAGGAAGCAATGAGCACGGTGACAGGCCAGGAAAGCAGTGGCCACCACAGTCAATCTGAAACAAGCATTTTCTAACAGCTACAGTAGTAAGGGCTTTGCTGAATCAGAGGTTCTTTGAGTCGGAAGGGGCTTCAGTCCAAACCCTTTATTCTTACAGTCAAGTATGCTTGGTAAAGACTCCTGGGTTGGGAAGATCCCCTCCAGAAGGAAATGGCAACCCACTCCAGTAATCTTGCCCAAATAAGAGGAGCCCATGTACAGAGGAGCCTGGTAGGCGACACAGTCCATGGGGTTCTCGAAAGAGTTGGACACGACTGAGCTACTAAACAAAAACAACACTGGGTCCCAGGGAAGGATATGGCAGGTCCCAAGTGAGAAAGCAAGGGAGGGACCGAGCTCAGCTTAGAGCCCGAATCCCCAGAATGAGTTTTCTGTACCTCACATAACAGTTGTTCTCACAGTAAGAGCATCTCAACCAGTTGTAGTCCAGAAACCATTTGCATATTGGTTGTTGAAATTGAAACTATTTCCCCTCTAGCTATCACAGGGTATGTGATCATAGTTTGGGGAGCAGTGATAGAGATTTAAAGAGACAGGAGTTGGGGGTTGGGGGTTCTTGTAATAGTTTCCAGTTTAGCTTCAAAGCTTACTTAATTCATAGTCTATTGGAAGAACAGTCCTACAGATAAAATCTCGTGACCATCACCCCTCTTCTATCACATTTCTATGGGACGGTGCAGTTGGAATACCGGTGCAGGAGGCAGGCATATACATCAGACCCTGAGAGCAAAGCCAACCACTTTTCCCAGAGTGTCTTGGGGGTCAGAGGCTCTAGATGGAGAAAGAGTAAAGAAGATAGCCATGTGTTCCACTAGCATGTTGACACCCACTCACATCAATGGGAAAGGCAAGTCTTTCCCTAGCTGTCCTGATAAAAGGGTTTTTAAAAGAAAAGCCCATCAAGAGGAAGAGCTTAGCTATGCCAAGTTCCCAACTGGATACAGGCTTTATTAACAATTCTGGTTCTCCCAAAGCCAAGTATTTGATAGTACATGAGCTTTATACTGAGCTGGATTCTTTCACATGGCCTGTTGTTATTCAGTCACTAAATCCTGTCCAACTCTTTGCAACCCCATGGACTGCTGCATGCCATATAGCGCATAGCCTAACTTGGAAACAAAAGCTACTTTGGCAAGTGACTGGGAAGGATTGAGTCTAGTATCACTAACAAAAATGATTAAAAATAAAAATTGCTAAAGATTTTTTATTCCATATGTTAGGCAGTATGCTAACCATTTTATATATGTTATAAACAGCCTTCACAACAAATTTTAGGTTGATGATACCATCTCTATTTTATAGAGGATAAACTTGAGGCTCAGAGTAGTCAAACAATTTATTCAACATAGCTAATAAATAAGAGATAGAGGATTATAACTCAGGACCATCTGGCTCCAAAGTCTAGTCATCCAAATATGACATAAAATAAAGCCACTCAGGCCATATTGGATTCTGCCAGCCAAATGTCATTACCCTGCATTTATACTTTAAGTGTCACTGAGATAAGATGTGGCAAAGTTAGGATGAGATGTACTTTTATTCATCATATATATTTATCAAATGACTGGATGGCTGGTTTTAAGGACTTAAATGTGGTGAGAGGTGCTAGAACAATAAGACAATATCCTGCCCTCATAAAGTTTCAGAACCTTATCTTTGCCAAACATATTCTCTTGTAGTCATAGCTCTTTGTTATCCTGTACTTACCGATGAAGAATCTGAGGCTTGAGAGTTGAGGAAATCAGTCAGAGTATCACAACAAAGAAGTGGTGGAGCATGAATTGGAGCCAGGTTCATCTGACTTTGATTTCATGCTTTGCCTCTTACCTCCCATTCCCATTCTGGAAGCTGAACCTGAGTGGTCATAAATGTACCAGGTCGTAGTCCATGGAGGAGCAGTGTAAATACCAAAGTCTATTTTTAGCTACAAGAGGATATGCACCTATAGCTTCTAAACAGGCCCACCATTCCAGGGAGATGAGGCAAACATCAAAGTCCAGGTTGGAAAGACAAAGATTTCTCAGAAAGAAAGAGAAAGGGCCACAGAACAAGTCTTCTCAGAGAAGAGGGGCACAAGATGGCAGCCATAACTCACTCTGAAGGAACAGTGAACACATTCTGTTAAGAAGATGGCAGAGGTTGTGGAATCTCCCGGCCCTGGAGCCTGCACAGAAATCCTCTTGAGCAAAGAGATCCACTGTAGTCTCTGAGGTCGAGACACTAAATCTCTAAACTGTGTACTTGACTTCTAAGTACTCCTCTGTGGCTTCCAGTTTGTTTCTGTTTGTGACTGTGGTGTCACCATTTGTATTACATCTTCCTGAGGCTGGAGACGCTGTCTTTCATTCCTCTGGCTCTCCATGATGAGTAGCTTACATGGAGTGAGGGGACATTCTCACTAAATGTTTGTTCACTGACTTACCACTGGTTTATTCACAAATCAGTCAACACAAGGAGCCATATTGTGCTCTGAATAGAAATACAGAGGTGCCTGTCTTACTACAACGCTCCCCACTTATTAAAAGATTTATGGCAGCATCATCTATCTGAAACATAGCCACAAAGCAGAATTTAGGAGATGGAAAGGATGGGAAAGAAATAAAAACAACTCTCACCAAGGTCATGGAGTTTCTTCCATGGGATGAACCTCAGGTCACCAAAAAGGGTCAGAGGGTTTCAGGATTTTAAATGCTTCTGTTCAGGACAATGGAAAAATTAGCACTCCTGTTGCTCTCCCAATACAAAGTTTAGTATCAGCAAATAAGAAGTGGGAAGGGAGTGATTTTTGCAACAGAGAGAACAGAGCTGGCAGCCTGTCAGTTGGATAGGTAACAGAAATGGTAAAACTTACTTTGGAAAAAAAAACTCTAAAAATGATCACTTAAAGTCAAAGTCATTTTGTATTGATACAATTAGTGTTCTGCCCATTCGGTCATCTCTGAGGCTATACCTTTGTACAGTGGATATTAGAGTGTGGAAGAACCTTAGAGATTGAGTCCAACCATTCATTATTTAGGAGGTACAAAGGAAATAAGTATCTTGTCCAATGTCCTCCCGCTGTTTACTTAAATTCAATAGGCTTTTCGTACAAACACACTGCCTTTGGTGTATATTTATATAAAAAGAAAGACATAGAAAATTAAGAAAATATAACTCCACCTTTGCCCTCCAGGGGCTCAGACTGGTTCAGCTGAGGGCTGATGCTACTGTACAACCACCGGCAAACATCCTTCTGTCTCAGCGTGGCTGGAGAAGCAATTGACACCACTGCAAAGACAGCACTGGGAAGAAAAGGAAAGGGGTCATAGAGACATCAACATAGCCTAAACCGGCAAACCCAATGTGATCAACATCTGCAGCACTTCAGTAATCCAGGCTAGTATTTCTAACATAAAAAAAGGTAGCGTTAGCGGGGTTAATATATTTCATGTGTATTTACTGATCCAGTTACTCACTCCGCGTGACCTTGAGTTCTTTTTAAATGCTCACAAACCACGCATTTAATAATCCACTTTGGAATTCTACTGGCAGAAAAAATAATGTGACCTTATTTAAGTTATACTCCCCAGAATCTATTTTCTCTTCTGTAGAGAAAACTAACACAAAATTTGAATTTGAGGGGTTCACACTGCCAATAAAGGGTTAATGAGAGCACCTCCCTCCCCCCCCGCTGTAAAATGGAAAGGTACTGCCACCAGATGCCAGCAGGGGGCAGCAAATAGCAGTTGAGGATGGGAATTCAGGAGGAACTCTTGAATGAAGGATGGGTAGAGATTTGGGGTACCCAAAACATTGTAGTTATCTCAACACAAAATGAAATGGAAAAACTAAAAAAAAAAAAAAACAACTGAAACTCAGAGTTTATGAATGTACCCCAAAGTCATAATCTAGGTAGTGGTGGAACTAGAAATATTATATGTTTCTTGGACTCTAAGAAGGCAGGAAAGTGTACCAGATATTTAATTTCACAAAAAATTAATTAGTCTTTGTATGAAAGTCTGAGTATGTATGCATGCTCAGTCACGTCCAACTCTTTGAGACCCCATGGACTGTAGCCTGCCAGGCTCCTCTGTCCATGGAATCTTACAGCCAAGAATACTAGAGTGGTTTGCCATCTCCTTCTCCAGGGGATCTTCTTGACCCAGGGACTGAACCAGCATCTCTTGTGTCTCCTGCATTGGCAGGCAGATTCTTTACCACTGCACCACCTGAGTAGCCTGACAAGTATGAAGACTTCACTTTCTGTTGTCCAGAAAACTCACTTTTCTGGATCACACCAATTGCCAAGGTCACTATTTCAATGAAGTCTCACTGAACTGAGATTCTGCATATGTGTATGCAAGTATATATGTTCCTACTTGATAGAGGAAGGAGGGGAGAGGGAGGGAAAGAGATCCAGAGAGATGAGCTACCCTCAATCTCTTTTCCAAGTTTTCCCACAATCTCCTCAAAAATGTGTCTTAACCTTAAGGGGTCCACATTTCATTTGAACTCTAAGATGAATTTCTTTAAAAAGTTGTACGTGATTCCATTCAGCTAGTTTTTTAGCTATATCAGGATGAATAAAATAAAATTTTCCGTTCTTAAAAAAAAAAATCTCCACTCGTCTAGCTTAACAAATAGTAGAGGTTAGGAAGTTCAAGGCTGGCAGAATCTTGGTGCTCCTGGAAGAAGGAAATCCATTGCCAAACACTCAGGAAAACATTTTCATGTGTATTTACTGATCCAGTTACTCACTCCGCGTGACCTTGAGTTCTTTTTAAATGCTCACAAACCACGCATTTAATAATCCACTTTGGAATTCTACTGGCAGAAAAAATAATGTGACCTTATTTAAGTTATACTCCCCAGAATCTATTTTCTCTTCTGTAGAGAAAACTAACACAAAATTTGAATTTGAGGGGTTCACACTGCCAATAAAGGGTTAATGAGAGCACCTCCCTCCCCCCCCGCTGTAAAATGGAAAGGTACTGCCACCAGATGCCAGCAGGGGGCAGCAAATAGCAGTTGAGGATGGGAATTCAGGAGGAACTCTTGAATGAAGGATGGGTAGAGATTTGGGGTACCCAAAACATTGTAGTTATCTCAACACAAAATGAAATGGAAAAACTAAAAAAAAAAAAAAACAACTGAAACTCAGAGTTTATGAATGTACCCCAAAGTCATAATCTAGGTAGTGGTGGAACTAGAAATATTATATGTTTCTTGGACTCTAAGAAGGCAGGAAAGTGTACCAGATATTTAATTTCACAAAAAATTAATTAGTCTTTGTATGAAAGTCTGAGTATGTATGCATGCTCAGTCACGTCCAACTCTTTGAGACCCCATGGACTGTAGCCTGCCAGGCTCCTCTGTCCATGGAATCTTACAGCCAAGAATACTAGAGTGGTTTGCCATCTCCTTCTCCAGGGGATCTTCTTGACCCAGGGACTGAACCAGCATCTCTTGTGTCTCCTGCATTGGCAGGCAGATTCTTTACCACTGCACCACCTGAGTAGCCTGACAAGTATGAAGACTTCACTTTCTGTTGTCCAGAAAACTCACTTTTCTGGATCACACCAATTGCCAAGGTCACTATTTCAATGAAGTCTCACTGAACTGAGATTCTGCATATGTGTATGCAAGTATATATGTTCCTACTTGATAGAGGAAGGAGGGGAGAGGGAGGGAAAGAGATCCAGAGAGATGATCTATCCTCAATCTCTTTTCCAAGTTTTCCCACAATCTCCTCAAAAATATGTCTTAACCTTAAGGGGTCCACATTTCATTTGAACTCTAAGATGAATTTCTTTAAAAAGTTGTACGTGATTCCATTCAGCTAGTTTTTCAGCTATATCAGGATGAATAAAATAAAATTTTCCGTTCTTAAAAAAAAAAATCTCCACTCGTCTAGCTTAACAAATAGTAGAGGTTAGGAAGTTCAAGGCTGGCAGAATCTTGGTGCTCCTGGAAGAAGGAAATCCATTGCCAAACACTCAGGAAAACACTGGTTAAGCATTTGGAACATTATGAAAGCTTGAAGTGATAGGTCTCTGCACAGGAAGAACACTTCATTCTCAGGGTTGTGGGGAATTTTGGAAAGCCAGTTCTGCTGAGGCGTTCCATGGTGAGGGTGTCAGCTATTCCGGTAAGGCTCAAGTGCTGCTCAGAGAAAAGGACAGAGATATTAAAAACAAATAATTTTAGGGAGCGTTGTCAAGAGTGGATTTGCTGTGATAAATGGCCTTCATTTGGTTTCCTGAAATTATGAAAGCAGAAACATCTTGGTCATTAAAGATTTAGGGGGTTGTGGGAAGGGAGCAGAGGTGAAAGGGAATTTGTTCAAAACAGATTCTCCGTGTGCCCTTCTATCTCATCTCCCACCTCTTGCCAGGTCCTCTGCATTCCAACCACACTCTTTTTCTTCCCAGACTCTCACAGCCTTCTTGTCTCCCTGCTTTTTCTCTTGCATCAGTGTATCATGCTCCCGCCCCCAACAGACTCACAGCACTCTTTCTGGCAAACTCCAGAAACTCCTACTCATGTTTCAAAGGCTCGTCTGAACATCACCTTTTCTGGAAGAATTCCTTGATTTTTCTGAGATAGAAATAATCACAGAACTCTAAACACACCACTGTTATAGGACCTAAAGTAAGTTATTATAATTACCTGGGTATGTTCTCTCTCCAGTTAACTGGAACTTCTTTGATGTCAGGAACTCTGTCTCATGAATCTCTGTATTATCAGCATTGTATTGTGATGTGGCAAAGATCAGATGCTTAACAACTTGTGAAATTAATGAATAAGTGATGTTCTGTTAACTACTTCATATGAGCATATAACATTGAACATTCGATCAACTGATAATTCCAAAATATATCGGTCAGATTGCATCTCTTAATATAGTGAGAATTAATACTCAAGTATTCTGAGTAGACATCATTGCATCTTGAGGTACTGGATGGCTTCTCAAAGAAGATTCTGTTGTATTCTTGAAAATTGAGTATTCTAGAATTTAGGAGACTGATGTGACCACATTCAGCCAAGATAGAATGCTTCAAAATATATGAGAGAGCATCACTGGAGAAGCAGGATGGAAACTCATTTGCAGAGATGGCCACAACTTGTGTCATCTAGACCTCCATCTCTCTAGCGGAACTGATTATTGCCTTTACCTGCCTTACTCTCCTCTGCCTTCGCACCCTCAATACTGCGCTGCACTTAACCATTTGCCTCTCTTGTCTCCTCTCCTAGGTTTAATCTAGCACCTATTAGGAACACAATAAATATTTAATAAAGGAATAAATAAGTAACTGGGGAATACTCTGGGAAGGGAACAGTGCTTTCTGTATTCTTCTCCCTGTTAGGAATCTAGACGAAGATGGTTATCATGATCTTTGAATAAAAGGACAATGGGTGGGACTTTGGCAAACTCTTTGAACACTTGTCATCAAAGCCTTAAGATTCACCAATAGGACTTAACCTACCAATTGGAAAGCTTTCAATGTTCAATAGGAGTGCTAATGAAAATATAAGTTTATCCAAAATAAACTATGCCAGAAGCAAGTAAGACCATAGAGTATTTCATAATAAAGGGTGAACTTCGGCAAGTCATTCACATCTCTGAGTCTCAATGTTCTCCCATATTAAGAAAGAGTTAATGATAGTAACTTTTCAAAAGGTTTATTGTGAATTAACTGAGATAACCCATATGAAGTAAATAGCACAGGGCCTGAAACACAGTAAGCGCTCATGTACTAGCTAGCCTTATTTAGGACAACAGTAATAATAAACCTCAGCTTTGAGAGCACCTGTAATAACTAGCCTGCCCTTACCAAGCAATGTGCAATTGTTTTAGTTTGGTATCCCTCAGTGATCCAATCCCAACTCTCTGTATAGTCTGTTTCCTTGGAATCTGCTGGACTCGAGGTGACTTTTCTTTTGATTTTTTTCCATTGACATGAACCAGGAGATTGAGACAGATCAAAGAGTTTCACAAGTCCTTTATTTTCTATCAAATGTGACTCCAAGTACCACCTTCTCTAACTCAACCCACTGATAGAAGCTGAGAAATCTTCACTCGCTGGCACTGCTCACTGGGAAGTACTCGGGAAAATAGTAGACAATCCACACAGAGGCTTTGTCTGCAGTGTATAGCTTGAGCCTCTATAAGTGCCTCTCCAGCAAAAGAGAGAGTGCTAGTCAATCCTTTTCAAAACTTTCCTTGAGGCAAGGATTATGGACCCATAAACTGGATTTGATTTTCAGCAACCATCAACTCCTACATTAAAATTTTATTACAATTTCCCTGTAACTTATTTGCTTCAGATATTTTGAATTCAAAGAAACTAATTCTCCCTTAATCTATTTAAGGAAATATACATACTGAAAAGAGACTAAACAAAGGAAGCTCAAGTAGGGAAAACATGATATGTCCCATGTTCTTTTCTAGTGTAGTTATAAGCATATCATAGAGAAAAAAGACACAGCAACCATAGCCTGTGTAACTGAATGTATCTATTTATATGGTATTCAACTTCATAGGAACTGGATTATAACAGCTTAACCAAATAGGACTTGTTTCTCTCCTAGCAGCATAGTGCCCGTGAGACTTTTCAAAAGTCTTATACAATGCACTGCAGGCAGATTCTTTACCAACTGAACTATCAGGGAAGCCCTGAGACTTTTCAAAGACCTCATCAAAAATTCAGATCCATTCTAGTATCTTGCTTCACCATCCATGGCTTTTGTCCTCATTGGTAGGATCTTTCCTCCTGATGTTGTTTCTATGTTCATGGCAGAAACAGGGAAGACAGGAAGGGAAGGCGGGCACACTTGCTTGCCAGTTGAAATGCTCCATTTTGGTCAGGAGCAGAATTGCTTGCCTAGATGTCTCCCCACCCCCACTAGAATTTTGTTTGAATTTCATTGGCTGGAACAATGTCCTATAGTCTTGCCTAGCTACAGGGTATCAGGGGAGGTGGAACATTTGTAAATGAACACACTGACGCTCTACCAAAAGAGTTCCAGTGATTAAAACAGGAATAAGGGTGTAGAGTGAAATTAGATAGCAGCTAAAGTACCTCACACACTTCAGAACAATAGTAATCCGTTTGTTCCTGGAGGAGGGAAAAATTGTCACAGGATAAGAGCTACTCACCAAGTGTCCTTTGCATCTCCAATGATACAAACCCTCTCTTCATGACCTCTATACATGATGCCTTTCTTTTCCCTTGACATCCACAATACTGCCTCTCTTCTAGGAAGGCTTCCCCCACCCCCACCCCCATGTTATCTATTGAAATCTTTCTCACACTTTATGAGCCAATCCAAAAGCAACTCTGAAGCATCCTGTGAACACCCTACCCCACTCCATTCACAGAGTCAGTCAGTATGAAGCTTCCCATCTTCTCCAATTGTTGAAGAATAATATACTAACATGTTAGCTATGTTTGGGTTTTATTGTAACCACTTGTTTATAATTAATTATTAATAACCAATATTTATTGATTGGTGTGTTCTGGTACTGTGTGCTTCATGTGCATTAGTTTATTTTCTCTTCGCAACAATACTTGGGCTTCCCAGATGGCGCAGTGGTAAAGAATTCACCTACCAATGCAGGAGGCTCAACAGACAAAGGCCTGATCCCTGAGTCAGGAAGATCCCCTGGAGGAGGAAATGGCAACACACTCCAGCATTCTTGCCTGGAAAATTCCATGGACAGAGGAGCCTGGTGGGCTACAGTCCATGGAGTCACAAAGAGTCAGACATGACTGAGCAACTGAACATGCATTCACATTCTTATCTTCATTTTACTGGTGAGTGGGGGAACTGAGGTTTGAACCCAAGTTAAACTCCAGGGTCTGAGCTCTTCATCATTATTTATAAATTTTTCTCATATAATAATCATCCTTTTTGAAGACAAAGACTAGTTCTTAAACTTGAACTTTTCACTACATTCTTCACAGCACTAAGCTTTGTTCACTATAGAAGCTCAATTAATGTTTCATTTTACTGATTAACAAACTGAGAGTAAGGGAAGTTATTAGTCACAGATCTTGGACAAGAATCATGTCATTTTTCCCCTTACTTATTTTTACACTACACCATAATGAATTATCCAGCCTTTCAACAAATATTTATGAAACACCTATGGTGATCCAGGCAGATGCTATCTTTTGCTTAGGTTGAGGGTCCTAGCCTGAGGATTATTACACTCTTATTCACTGGGAGAAAACAAAGCAAAGTAAAATCCTGGAAAGAATGAGATGAAACATTTTCCTCTTTCAGCTTGGGGCTGTGTGAAATTGTTACTATTGTTGTTCTGCGTCCAAGGGAATCCTGGGATAAAATTCATCAGCCTTGAGGTCATTTATCATTTTCTGGGTTTTTCTGCCCCTGGTTTCTCCTCTGCTCCCTACAGACCATTCCCAATGTCATAACAGCAAAGCAGCTCTACAGAAGACACATGTCTGGAAATCCTCCGTTTTTGCTCTCTTATGCCCTGAGTCACACCACCTCTCCCCACCAGCCTCAAGATAAGAGGACCTCTCAAGACTTTAGGTATGTCAGAATTGTCATTATTTGCTATGCAACTTTTTTTCTGGGCTCTGCAGTCTTTGAAACCCTTTGCAAAAAGAACTTCAGACAACTCAAGCTTTTATGCCAATGAAAGCATAAATGGAAGCCTTTGCTCCTTGCCTTTGGGTAAGCCAAGCCCTCCGTCCCCTCTGACATCCCAGAGTGCCCCACCAGAGGGTAGCTTGCATTGAACTCCATCTGTAAAAACTCTACACTGCAGGGGAGCTTGCTGACATTGAAGTAAGCATTGAGATTATCTGTTTCTTCAGATCTGAAGTCAATGTCCAGGTATACGGATGGGGAGATGGGAGGACAAGAAAGTCAGCATGGCCGGTGGTTGCTTGTGGCCCTCATCAAACTCCTACAGAGAAAAGGACAACCCGGTCGAATGTGCTACATCGTTTTGAACGTGGCCTCCAAATCTCCTGTTGTGGCCATTACATCAGTGATAAAAATACACTTCTCCCCTCTACAACATGGACAAATGCTTTACTTCTTCTCTTTCCTGGGCCCTCTTAAGAGAAACTCAGGGGACAAAAATGCTGACTTATTGAATTATACACACTTCTAGAAATATGTTTTAATAGTAATTCTCTTCTTTGAATTTTGTCTACTTTTGAGAATACAGGGGAATTTATGCAACACAAACGAAGATGATTTCTTTCAAAAGATCTGCTTTGATTTGACACTTGCTGTGAGGGAAAGAGGATAAATAAGATGTCTCAAGAGGAAAATCTACATGTGTCTTTAGAAGATGCTTTTGGTACCTCTCTTCATGTCTGCTGGACCCACCCCTGATTTCAGCTGTAGCTGTTGTGGGTGAGTTCCTGAGAGCCAAGGTTCTTCTCTCTCTGTGAGCATCCTGTTTTCAGCTCTGTCTGATAACCTTCTCTGAGGTCACAGGAGTCCCTTCACCTGGAATTGCAGCCTAGCAATGCAGGAATTAACTCCCTGGGGCTAACCCTCAAGCAAGAGAGGCAGGAGCTGATGGATAAAAAACAGGTACCAGCCTCCTTCCTCCAGATGGACAATTCCAAAGGACAATCTCAGACCTCTCAGCTGCTCTGGCAGCTTCTTCAATAACTTGCTTTGATTTTAACTTTTTCCCCTTCCCACAGTCTTCATCTCTGCTTCCTGGGACTACTGCCTAGGCTCGGAAGTCCTCGTCTTAAATTCTTTTCCCAACAGAATCCAAACTTAGATAATACCTAGAATCAAGACAACTGGTCAGTAGATTTAGGTCAGTCATCTGGATAAATTTAGTACAGGAGGGGAAAAAAATAGTCATACTCATTATTTGACATTATATAGCCTTAGGAAAAAACAGATTGATTAATTTTCCAGTCATCATGTTGACAGCACTTGAAA